AATAATGCATAAAAGATACGTTAAATCAATAAAGAAAACATTACACACACTACATACCATGTATTTGACGCACACACGCATGCATACTATTTATTGTCAAACTTTTGTTCTTGACATTTGTTGTCAAATTGAGAATAGATTAAATATTGTTTGTCTTTGTTAATATTTTTTATAGTGTAGTCTTGGCGAAATTTGTGATTATAGAAGTATAAAATACAATCATAATAGTGTACAAACTTACAATTCCAATTAATTATTATAGTCGAATTTCGACTACTGCGGGACCTCTAGTTCAACTAAATACTTACTTCTAACCAACCAATCATTATGTTAATATATATATTAATGTTAGCCAAAGAAATCCACCCGGATTAATTATAGGAAAGTGGCGTATTTCGAACTCAAATTAAAAACAGTTGCATTTTTAAGAAAACGTCGAATCATTCCATTAGAAAACGGATGAAAAATAAAATAAAAACATTACAGATGTGGCAGGTGAAAGTGGCACCCACACTTGCGTGCGTTTGTCTATGTGCTTGTAGAGAAAGTTTGGTAAACTTCTATTGGACACGGAGTGGAGTGGAGAGGAAATGTTTGTAAAATTTTAATTTTTTTACAAGTTCTATTTTAAAAGACGATGTTCCAGCGATTTTTGTTTAATGGTCATATGATCGCATTATCCATCACCGAGTTAATTTGTATTAATAGACCACAGTTTCAGGAAAACTTGAAAATAAAGGTCTTTCATTGTCATACTGAATCAAGCCGAGTCATAACAAAGAAAATCCGATTCAAGATTAAGATCCCACCTAAATTAAATCAATCTGCAACAGTTATTCTACGATTGAAAAAAAGATAGATGGAAATAACGCGAATATTCACATTGTATACATTAAATTCTTGAACTACCTCATACTACATCAGGATATTTTTGATTTATGAGAATGTTGTCAAATAATATCATGTTCTTTCTCCTACAGAGCAAGAGTTGAATTTTTTTATTTTTTTTATTGCATAGATGGGTGGACGAGCTCACAGCCCACCTGCTTTTAAAGTGCTTAATGGAGCCCATAGACATCTACAACGTAAATGCGCCACCCACCTTGAGATATAAGTTCTACGGTCTCTGTATAGTTACAACGGCTGCCCCACCCTTCAAACCAAAACGCATTACTGCTTCACGGCAGAAACAGGCAGGGCGGTGGTACCTACGGACTACCGTGCGGACTCACAAAAAGTCGTACCACCAGTAATTGAACATATAAGACAGTCGCCCGCTTGAACAATCAAATCATTTGTGATCTATAAATTCTAGAAATATACAAATAAAGTCAATGTTTATATGTTTGTCCTCTATGCGTCCGTAAAGCATTTTCATTTGATTGTGATAAAGTTTGGTATAGTTGTTATAAGCATTTTAGGGTAAAATTCTGTCATAAGGCAGTTGGCACGCGAGTTGTTTCAATAAAGTGATGTTTTCATATAACTACTCAGTCACTTCACACATGAAATGGGTTTCATATTAAAAACATTCAAGGAATTTCCCGGAAAATATTTATTAAATCGACTCTACTGCTGTCTTTGTTCAGCAACGACTTGTCAATGTGTGTGTAAGTGAAAGGCGTGTACGCACAGCACTGTAAACACACGGATTTCTTCACGTGTGAGTGAGTACGTCTTCACGTAGTTTTTTGTACACATTCTACAAAAAGAAACTCCATATAAATTGAGAATTTCTTCTCATACCGTTTAGTTTCTACGTAGAACTGATGAAGAATCGATGGAGGTGCTTATTATGATTTTTAGCGCAAAGACAATGTTTGATTCTGATTTTAAATTATCTATCAAAGCTGATAGTATATGGCATTGAAATATTAACTTTTCGAAATCTTAATCAAGTTTGTTATAGTAAAATCGAGACATACCCGCGCTAAACAGAGCCCCAGTTTTATATTTAACACTAGCTGACCCGGCAGACTTCGTAGTGCCTCAATCGATAAATAAAAGACCTAAATTTTTGTATAAAATAAACTTTAAACAAACAAAAGGAATCCGTCCGACGGGGGACACATCAAAAGAAAAAACAAAATTGTTATTTTTATTTATTTCCGAGCATTTTTATATTTATCTACCTTTTAAACCTTCTCTGGACTTCCACAAATAATTCAAGACCAAAATTAGCCAAATCGGTCAAGCCGTTCTCGAGTTTTAGCGAGACTAACGAAATTTATTAGACATTTTTATTAATATTTCAACAATTATTACTGTATTACTTGTTAAAGAATTTCAAAGTATGTTTTCATTACAGCATAACGAACAGCAATTCATTTATATACATATAGATAGATAGATTAAGTTATGCTATTGCCTTATAACCGCATGTCGGTAATAATATTGAATGAATTGAAAACTATTTTCATATTTACTTAAAACTCAACGTAAACCCTAGCTTAGTACCAGTAGTACAATGATATAAAATAGGACATTACATATTTGATGAATTATACTTATATTTAATGCTTACGTAAGTTTTATTTATTCTATAATCGATCTTACTTTACTTCTTTCTAATAATAACAAGAAAAAGCGGGTTCGGAGCTCCTCAGAATAAAATAGTTTGTACTCTAAAATACTAAGCTGTGAAAAATATATCTATTACCTTGCACACTGCAAAAGGACAAAACTTAATTGACATTATAAATTTTTCCTAGTGATCGGCAACACAGGTTTATCTTCAAGCCGATAAATAGTCAATCAGTCAATAGACTCATTCAAACGAAAATTGGAAAGTCAGCGAAGTAGCAACTACCGTGGCGACTGATAGATGGCGCTGCTAGATGGCGTGTGTGTGAATGTCAGCCGTTTTAAGATAAGAATGTCATAGCTACAGCCTAGCTTCGTGATAGGCTCTTGTGAGTCCGCACGGGTAGGTAACACCACCCTGCCTATTTCTGCCGTGAAGCAGTAATGCGTTTCGGTTTGAAGGGTGGGGCACCCGTTGTAACTATACGTGAGACCTTAGAACTTATATCTCAAGGTTTACGCATTTACGTTCTAGATTTCTACGGGCTCCAGTAACCACTTAACACCAGGTGGGCTTTGAGCTCGTCCACCCTTCTAAGCAATAAAAAAAAACAAAAAAAAATATCTCCTCGGAATGAATTGTCAATCACTTGCCATTCTTTTGCCTATGAAAAATTTCAAAGGTACAAGTTCAAAGAAAAACATATTATATTCAAAAATATATTCACATAATTGACTTAAAGTAAATACAGTCTTTTTGTTAATTCTTAATTAAGACATGAAGTAACCCGTAGAAATTCTTATTTCACTATTCCGGACTTATTCACTTTGAACCCTGTATGACCCTTGTCAGATATATTTTACATGTATTTTTTTATTAATTTAAGTTAATTAAACAAATGAAATTAAATAAGATTATCGGTTACTGAAAATTAATTTAGGCACAGCTTATTTTTGCTGACTCTTTTCTGTGAAGTGATTTAGCACACATGGAGGTGATTTTTTAGAGGTTGGTTGATTGTATTATTCTCACGCGTCAGAAGTTTTGTTATGAACCCTCTCTCTCTTTTACTAAACCCACAGAACGTAGAAATAGGTAGGATATTGTCCAATATCAAAGGAAACTTATACAAAGTTTCGACGAGCATTGAAAATCCGTTAAGTTGGATACACTACTGGTATGTCTACACATTTTTTTGTCTGTGGAATTAGTTTTTTTAGGATTTTAAGCTATTGCATAGCTTTTATCGCGGGCTTTGAGTGCGGCGACCGAATCAAGAAATTCCGTAACGAAAATAAAACCTAACACCCCCACTCTGTCTACCATATAGCTCGCGTTCGACACATTCACACGTTGCGCTTGTGTAGTGTTTTATGAATAAGCGCGCGGCGTGACGTCACACTGCATGCGCATCATGACAAGTCTGTCCATCTCTCTCTCGCGCAGTCTAGCTAATGAGTGTGAAGGGGGCACTTAATTTTTTGCTTTTGTTAATGTTTATAAATATAGCGCGGTCTTATTTTATTATTGTTTTAATATTAAATTATTATTGTCTAATTATAATTGCATAAGTTGATAAAAAATGCTCTGCAATAGCTTTACCGCGGCAGTTCCCGAGGGCCACACGTGTTTTTATTTTATTTTAGTTACCATTTTGTGCGCTTAAATAAATTATAAATTTACAGTACATTCAAATATATGTATAAGCACCGATGTTGTATTTTGTTTTACGAAAAAGCCTTAATTTAAATAACACATAAACTTTAGAACTAACAACGAACCATGCACCATTCATTCAGCTTTGAAATAATTAATCAATTTATTAAGGCTTATAATAATAAAAATTAAGTTTCTATTATTGTAAGCTTTAACAAAATTGTATTTTGTTTATAAGGAGTAAGGGGAGTGCTTTCGAAGGAGAAAAGCTTAATCTGATTGATTATTGCAAGATTGTTGAACAAAGTATCGGTTTAGTACTGTAACAATTCATGAGGTCGCAAAATAGATTAATTTCTTCATCTTTTCGTCTACATCTGTCTTAAATATCTTAGTTTTTTACGGATTTATTTTTATCATTGTATGTATTTCGTCTCCGGAAGCCCCTTACACCCTGATTGAAAATAAAATTTACTAAGCTACTTAATATTAAAAAGATCATTGGAACATTTCGTGTTTTCTCTTCGACAATAACCAAGTAATAAATTTTGTTTTTTCTTTTTTCTTTTTCTTTTTTCTTTACAAATTATTTTCCTTTTCCTAAAACTAGATTACTTTTATAATTAATTTAAGGACGAATTTATCAATTCTCGAATACATTATAAGCCATCACCAAATTAATTCAAACAAGATCTCGAGAAAACTTTTGATAAATAATAAATAGGAGAAAAGTTTACATTAAATATTATGTAGTATATTAAAAATGAATATTTATTAATAAATTACTTTTTTGTGCGTGCGTACGTACTGATTTCTTAAATTACGACCCTAGTTGTGATTTGTATGCTAAATCGTTAGCTTCTTGAGCTATGCTTGATGATCTAGCGTAAGGGTACGAGGCCGCGGAAGCCGTCGGTGACGACCATTGCTGTGGCGAAGACTGGAAACTGGCTATCTGCTAATATTAATGAAACTTTTATTAGCTAAGTAAGTTTGATTTTGAGGTAGAGGCTATGTCATTGTGGAGGCGCTACCACGCCATTTGTTTCTGCCACGAAGGAGTCAAGCGTGCGATATGAAGGGTGGGGCAGCTGCTATGCAATACATTCCAGGAATTACACCCGGATCCATGACTGTTAAGAAGGACGCTTATACCAGTCCCGCTGAAGCCCCAATATTCGTCGACATTTATACGCTAAATAAAATTTCAGATTTAAAATGCACATTATCATTCACAATAAATAATAGTTTAAAAAAAACTAACAAAATACGCTTTTATAGAAAATCTAACTAAAAAATAGAAAATAAATTTGAATTAAAAATAGTGTACGAAAAAATGATTTTATTGTAAAAAAAAAGCGTGGCGTGCTTATAACCCCCTTCTACTCATATCTGTTCATAAAATATTTATAACTACTGATACCATGGACCCCACGCTTTTTTACATACCGTTACATACTAACATACTTCTGAAGCTAATAAAAGCGTATTAAAAATATAGTCAGTAGTGTGTTTTTAAGATAATATTCAAATTGAGGAATAACTAGAGGAAGAATTAGACCTAAGAAAAATGGATGGATTGCGTGAAAGACGATTGTGTGTAAGAGGGGAGTGAACGAAGAAATGGTATATGATAGAAGAGTATGGAAGGAGAAAACATGTTGCGCCGATCCCAGGTGACTGGGAGAAGGGCAGAATAATGATGATTCAAGTTATCGTTCATACCTTGCTAATACCATTAAGTCCTCCCCCACTAAGCAGCTTCTGGATGCCTAGAGCTGCAGCCGCCAGGAATGCCAGCTTGGCAACAACCAGCGCTTTGGTCACCAGTAAAGTTAGGCCCCCGAAGAGCAGAGCGACAACAGCGATGACCTTCACCCCGATCCCGGCGAGCAAGGGTGTGTATTTTTTTATTTTACCACGGGCTGAAGCAAAATTTAATGACGTCACATAATCTATATATATACAAATATTATAAAGCTGAAGAGTTTGTTTGTTTGAACGCGCTAATCTCAGGAACTACGGATCCGATTTGAAAAATTCTTTCAGTGTTAGATAGCCCATTTATCGAGGAAGGCTATAGGCTATATAACATCACGCTAAGACCAATACAAGCGGAGCACCAAAAAAGAATGTTTAAAAATCGGGGTTATTTTTACCTTTTGACAGCTTCCGCTGCGTGCGCTGCGGAAACAGTTAAAGTTTTGCTAAAATAATGTATGACAGAATTGTTCCCCTACAAAAGACCTAAAAAAAACTGCGCGACAGCATATGGCTAATTATAACGTTTTTTTATGTTAACCAAATTTGTTATAAAATGAAGCATTATTTGTAAACTATTCGATGCGGACAAAGTCGCGGGTAAAAGCTAGTGGTCTATAAATCTTTAAGCTATAACAGTGTTAAGGCGTTTATGAAAGAAACATTAGGTTCACTGTCAGTTTTATTGGGGGAGTTTTCGAATCACATTGTTAGGATGTATTGGCGCGGATATATTCAATTAGTACAGCCCACTGAGTTTCTCGCCGGATCTTCTCAGTGGGTCGCGTTTCCGATCCGGTGGTAGATTCTGCGAAGCACTCCTCTTGCTGGGGCCAGTGCTAGCAACACCTCCAGTTTGAGCCCCGTGAGCTCACCTACATGTTAGGGTGAAGCTGAAATAGCCTCACAAGGCTATCAGCATAGGTAGGAAAAAAATATAGATCTGAGTGCACTTTTTAGTTTTAGTGTTTTAGGGAACGTTTTCAGGGTCCATAAGATGAGAGAAAATTCAATTTTATTTATATATTGTTATCTATAATAATCTATACTAATATTATAAAGAGGAAATATTTGTTTGTTTGTTTGTATTGAATATGCTCCGAAACTACTGAACCGATTTGAAAAATTATTTCACTGTTTGGAAGCAATAGTATGTCCGAGTGACATAGGCTATAATTTTTTTTGAAAAAAAATAGGGATCCTTAGTTAAACACCAATAATATAACCTAAGATGTAAAAAAAATAACTAAAATATTCTTTACATCGCGTGCCCTGCGAAAACTATTGATGATAGAATAAAATAATGTACTACGACTTTGTAGAACACATTATTATTTCCAAAAAATGTCGCGTCAGTATATGTTTAACTATTATAGTTATTCCGCAATAAATGTCCTTTAATTAAAAAAATAAATAAAACAACGTCAAATATCATTGAAATTTTTGTTAAAGACCCGAGCGGAGCCGGAGCAGGCCACTAGTATATTATATACAAGCAAGAAAGAAAAAAACACACACACACACAGTAAATACCTACTATACTATCGTTAAAAGTGTTTGTAGGCAGATTTTAGAATCAAGTACATATATAATGATGCCAATTTGTATACGTTACCACTGATGGTTCAATTAAATTTTTTTTTTTTTTTTTTTTTTTTTCATGTGTGTTTTAATGTTTCCGAAGCGAAGCGAGGGCGGGTCGCTAGTAAAGCAATAAAGAAAATCTCATTGTATTTTTCCTGTACCAAGACATGCTTGCTTGTTTCACTCCGCAGCTGTCAGTCGCATTTATTATGCATACCTCCGACGCTGTCCAGGCTATTTCATTTACAATGATAACGATATTATCAGTTACTCCAATGTGCTTGATGCAAGTTTTTTAACGTNGATTACGCAAATTATAATTTTGCGGGTTTGGTTTTTATTACACGATGTTATTCCTTCACCGTGGAAGTCAATCGTGAACATTTGTTGAGTACGTATTTCATTAGAAAAATTGGTACCCGCCAGCGGGATTCGAACACCGGTGCATCGCTACATACGAATGCACCGGACGTCTTATCCTTTAGGCCACGACGACGACAAAATCATTAAAGGATAATTTCGCTTTGTCGCCCTATAAGCTGCGGTCAAAGTAAGCCGCTAGTTAGAGGTCGTTAAACTCGAACAGCCTTGACCGGGCGGTTGCGTTGTCTCACGTAACACTCACTCAGCCATTGGGTCATCGGCCCCGGTCGCGACTGCCTTTCCTTTCTTTGAGCCTAGACATGCAAATAACCAATCGATTGCCGAATTTATCGCGTTTAATATATAGAGTACCTGGATGACAGAGATTTTCTCGGTTTTTTTTTTATAAACTGTGTTTTTTTTAAATTATATTTAAATACGAATTACATATTGATAAAATGATGATATATAAATAATAGTTTTCGACCTTACCGACAGAATATTAAAAAAATAATAATGAACTGGGTATTTAAAGAAAAAAATCAAAATTGTCGATAAAGTTGATTATTGAAAACGCGAATAAAACAACAATTTCTGAAAATAAATCGTAGCTAGATCGATTTATCGCCCCGAAATCCCCTGTATAGGTACTAAATTTTATGAAAATCGTTGGAGCCGTTTCCGAGATTCAGATTATATTATATATATTTATATACAAGAATTGCTCGTTTAAAGGTATAAGATTGGAAATTCTCGGTAGTACTATTGAACTATGCTGATGCTTACAACAGAGTAACGGAGAAAATACGAGTCGTGCGTGACCATGAAAACTTTTTATAGTTAAATTTTCGCAGCTTTGAATATTGTATAATGAATATTGAGTGTTAATCCCTTAAAACAGTTTTTTTTGTATTGAATAGGCTCCGAAACTACTGAACCGATTTGAAAAATTCTTTCACTGTTTGGAAGCTACACTAATCCCGATTAACACAGGTTTTAATCTTTTTTGAAAAAAATTAGGGATCCTTACTAAAACTCCAATAATGTAACCCAAGGTGTAAAAAAATTACCTAAAATATTCTTTACATCGCGTGCCCTGCAAAACTATTGACGATAGAATAAAATAATGTATTACGACTTTGTAGAACACATTATTATTTACAAAAAGAATGTCTAACTATTGTTGTTATGGCGCAATAAGTGTTCTTTTATTTTAAAAAATAAAACTACGTCAAATATCGTTGAAATTTTTGTTAAAGACCCGAGCGGAGCCGGAGCGGGCCGCTAGTAAATTATTATACAAAGCGTCCTATAACTAAACATTCTTTAAATATTCAACACATATTTTTTCTTCATTGCATCTATCTCTATTCACTCTGCGCTACCTTTGGTTGACTGGTAGAGCATGGTAGAGCCTTAGGCATTAAGTCCGCCAATGTAAATTTTACATGAAGTGTAATAAATAAATAAATAATTTTAACTCTATTAAAATTTGTAATGATGTCTTATGTTACTTTGGTCGAATATAATTGTAATTAATTGTCGACTAAAAAGTCGTGAATTTCATTGAACTAAGCTTCGTTATCAAAGCGAAACCATGGACAGCTTACCTTCTTGAAAAGTCCTCGCTGCCTCTCTGAGTTCACCAGGATCGAACTTGACGTTTAGCTTATCCTCGCCTGTAGCATCCCTGGGCAAAAAAAAAAACAAATAGCATTGGACATCAATATTTTTTTACTTTTAATTAAAATACTTATGTATAAGTCTAAGTTGAAGACTTACATTACTCAAATTACATCCAAAATATTAAAATTAAGCAATACTATTTCATTTTATTGGCGTCAATCTGTTGTTCACTTCACGATTTTAATTGATATATTTATTTATTTATTTACTAGCTTTTGCTGGCGACTTCGTCCGCGTAGAATAGTTACTTTGGCATAACGCTAAATTTTACCCCTCACTTCATTTACGTAGAAAGTGAAAATATTTTTGAATTATAGAATGGTAAGGAGCTATTTAAACCCCTATTTTGAAACATTCTTTATTGGTGCTCCACTTGTATTGGTCTTACCATGATGTAGTCTATAGCTTTCTTTGATAAATGGGCTATCTAACACTGAAAGAATTTTTCAAATCGGACCAGTAGTTCCTGAGATTAGGGCGTTCAAACAAACAAACTCTTCAGCTTTATAATATTTGTATAGATGAAGGAAATATTACTGGTGACCCGGAGGCCTTTCCAGTTTCACCAGGACAGGTGAACGAGCAAAGGCTCCACAGGAGGGGTGGGATTTGCTAACAGCTACCCGAGCGCCTCCGAAGAAGACCTAACAACTCAAGAGCAGCTGCTTCGCGATTGAATCTACTACCGGATTCCCGCTGAGAAGATAAATGATATCCTATATTGCAACACAACAACTAAAGCGTGGTTCTTACCACCACTGCGACAAAACAGGCCGCACTTACCAATAATCCCATTGAAAAACAAACATTTCTTCAAACATCATTAACATAACAGCGGAATATTTTGAAATTAAAATGACCGTAACGGTTAGAAGGCATTGTTAGCAAGTTCTCACTTAGGAAACGAAAGTCACTCGTTGTCGGTCTGATCTGCATATATTTCACCAGTATTCTTCTACCTTCCTCCTTGTTTTCGATTTATTTTGCCCATAGCTCACATGCAGTGGTTAACAAAGCCTGTAGACGTAATTGAAGCTACACACCTTAAGACATGAGGTTAAGCTTTGAAATTTCCAACGACTGTTCCTTCCAACTGGACCCTGTGAATACATCGCGGCAAAAATAGACAGAATGGTAGTACCGATCGGTCCAATATAAGTCTTGTTACCACTATGTATACCGTAAGACATTTGTTTACGCAATTTTTCACGATGCAGATGATGTACGGACACAGATGGTGGTGTGTTTTTAAGCGCTCTAGTATTGCTGCTATTTAGCCTATTGATTTCATGGTATAGCTATATATGCTTTATTTTATAACCCATTGCTGTAATCCATGATAAGTTACTGAAAGAAAACATGAAACTAAGATCCTATACCTTGAATTTAAGGTAGGGAGCTCATGTGATGTCTATGAGGTATAATAACTACTTAACATCTGATCTAGCCCTATCCTTTCACAGCCAAAACGTACACAATATTCGTTAGTACTCACTTCTCAACAAAAACTCCAGAGAACAGCTCCAGTTTCCCTTCATCCTCGCCCTGGGTGCCCGGGGCTGCGGTACAGGCCACCACCAATAGGAGAAGCACAAAACCACGCATGGTTACTGTCTGACCGGTTCGGTAGTTGAGGATCAAATGAGAGCTCTCCCGATCTCTGCCTTATATTGTAGACAGGACTGTGAGTCGAAACTTTACGGTGTAGGCTGATTAACTGATTTTGATACTTTATTCTTAAAGTTTTAAGTTAATTCTACAAGCAATATATTATAAGGTTGTTTGATTTTTTAGAAAAAGGCAATCATATTACAGAAAGTAAGCAATTTTAGATATGTACTGAATAAATTTTGATTAGTATCTACGAAAATGGAACGTTATGTAACAAAAACTTTATATTAGAAATATTAATAGGAGTTACGCTTATTTGTCAGTATGTTTACTTTAAACAGCTCATATTTCTCTTTTTTGCGTCGATAATCCTCAATGCTGAGGGTCGTGGCTTCCTCATATTAAACAACTCCAAGTTAAGAATTTCTTAAGGTTTATGTGTCGAAGCATATATGGGATAAGACATCAAATGTCTAGCTTATACAAAGTTACGGTCAGGATCAGGAGGAGAATTTGCAACCCCTGTAGCAACCTATAAACATCAGTAACCATTACACAATCGAGGCAATAAACTTAAAATATATATTTTACCTTGTTTATTAGTGCTAATGTATGCTAAGAAGTCGTCAGACTATTTAAAATTAATATTATAACTGCATAAAGAAGAATGTATATCAGATTCAAGTACCAGAATGGTATTTTTTAAAATAAATATACATTATTTGATTTTGGATATATTATGTGGATCATATTTTATAATGAAATCAAAGGTTCAAAAAATACAACACAAAATCTTTAAGGTAAGCTAAAATGCCGAAGGTATCAAGATTGGTTAGTCGAAGTATAACACTAAAAGTTTATTCATACACCTTAGTCACACTACACGTGTAAAACACATTGGAATATGTTTGGTTGGATGGCGATCTTATGTTTTTCTTATATATTTTTTCATTGATAAATTTTAGTAGCGAATGGTTTAGAAAATATGGGTATTTCAATAGTTTTGTTGACAAAATATATTGCAGAGATTACAAGCTACGAGACAATTACGAATTTTAATGTAATAAAACAGCAATGAGTCCTGGGATGAATGAATAAATCCGTATTTGCTACTTGGCAATATTACCCCACTAATAGGTTTTTAATTTTATTTCATAAAAGGAACTGGTAATGTTCTTATTTGTTTTGATTGACAATAGCGTATAATATGTTGATAGCATTCATTCAATTACTGAATATAGTTTTTAAATATATAGGACGGAAAGTCGAGAATCAAGAGGCTAAGGAAACTAGGCTTATGTGGTGTCAAAACAAAACAATTGCCAATAATTAGAAAGTTGTTGACGAAACTTGTTGTATGACGCGTCCTCTACAGAATTTTTGCATCCTTGCCAATATGAGCGTGCCGTGAAAACAAAAGAAATCGTATAAATATGAAATAAATAATAAGTACGAATTATTATTGTCCATTTCCACTGATTTTTAAAACTTTTTTTTTTTATTTCTTAGCTGGATGGATGAGTTCACAGCCCCCCTGGTTTTAAGTGGTTACTGGAGCCCACAGACATCTAAAACGTAAATGCGCCACCCACCTTGAGATATAAGTTCTAAGGTCTCAAGTATAGTTACAACGGCTGCCCCACCCTTCAAACCGAAACGCATTACTGCTTCACGGCAGAAATAGGCAGGGCGGTGGTACCTACCCGTGCGGACTCACAAGAGGTCCTAGTAAAAAAAAAAACTACTGAAATTCTATTTTTAAATGGTCTGTTTTGTAACATTAGTCTTGAAGTCTTGAAGTTTCATTCCACAAATGCGGCCAGTATTTTTGTCTGATGCTTGCATTAACAAAATATGTGGTAGTTGATGTTTTAGAATATATAGGTGACATCTAAGTTTTATAATGTCGAAAGATTTCTGGAATTGTAAACAAATGATAGTTAAGTTCCATACCCTGGCCTTCAACGCCGGCCTTACTCAAGGTACTGACGACCCGAACTGAGGTCAAGGCCACTTTCTCCAGAGAGACCAGCTCCCGAATATCTTGGTCATCGAACCCTTGCTTTCTATTGGGCCTCGTGCTCCGTAAATAGGTGAAGTGTGAAAGTATCTACCGTCTACAAAAAAAGCTTAGGTTTTTTTTTTTTGTGTTACGTTCTGGAGGATAGATTTCCATGAACTTTCGTAGTAATATATAATATACGTGATTGGAAATGTACTAACTGTTTGATTGTATTATTTGATATTCCACGTTTACGATCAATTGAAAATTAAAGTATTTGGATGTAAAATTTGGCTCATACCCGATCCTGTAGACCCAATGGTAAATAGTCGTTGTCGCCCAAAACACGTCATTACGGATCCTCCCGATCCATTAAGGGTGCTTTTAGGTACCACAAGCACCGGTCACCGTCCTCGTCGAACCCGTCACTTGCGACGAAGGGCTCGACGAGTGAATTAGCCCATAGACACAGCTCACTGAGTTTCTCGCCGGATCTTCTCAGTGGGCCGCGTTTCCGATCTGGTAGTAGATTCTGCGAAGCACTGCTCTTGCTAGGGCCAGTGTTAGCAACCCTTCCGGTTTGAGCCCCCTGAGCTCACCTACATCTTAGGGTGAAGCTGAAATAGCGTCTCAATGCTATCAGCATAGGTAGGAAAAAAAAAGTTACAACTACATTTAATTGTTTTTCAACAAGTCCATAACTCCTAGAGCCAATATAAATTATAATATGAATGTTCCCATACCTATACTCTGATATCGCTTTTCTTAGACGTAATTTTTGGCAAATACATCGTCCTAGAAAAAAAAACCCTCTGGGACGGTGTTTGAAGGATAGTTTCAACGATGGCAACCTTGGTGATTATAACCCTGACAATGCTGATGTCCGTGACCGACTGTGGCTTTAGGTAGACCTGAATTTCATTTGCATCCATGCCTAAGAAAAAAGGCCTAGATTGAGCAAATAAAAATGGTTTTAAAAAGTTATAACATAGTATCCGCATCTATACTGTTTCTAGGGGCGCTTGAAATGTATTTTGCCTTTCTGTCCAACCCACTTTCAGAGTACCGGTCATGAAGATAGAATGGTCGTACGCAGTTTGGTCGCAGTCAAGGTTGTTTGATTGAACTTGCTAGCGTACTTTCTCTTTGTACCAAACGCAGTACACACTAAAGCAACAGATAAATTATTATTAGTATATTTGCTATGAGTTCGTAAATTCAGCGCGAGGGTATGTCGTGTGGTTCTCGTTCGTAAAGTCACAGCTTGAAGGCTAGGTAAATAAAGTTGTCGGAGAAACCACAATTATTAACACCATTCATTCGCCATCGACCATCGTCAGAGACCTCAAAGGGACGAATAGGGTGATCGGGCTTAGCAGACGACACGTATGACTGGCTGGTTGGTAACTGTGACGGCGTCTACACCTCTCTATCGGCTAGGCTCTGTCGTAGCACGAAGTTAGCCCAGTTCCGACGATACCGCAATCGTGCTGCCATCTCTCGGGAATCTTATTGCGTTTCGTTTAGCTACCAAAATAATGACCGTCTCAGACTTCGTTTAGCTACCAAGCAAATGACCGTCTCCGACACAGTTTTTCTCTTTTCCGAAACATGAAATATGTATTGGGAATTAGTATGACACGTAGTCCCCACGACGTCATCCGGTATGTTTCTTCTGAATTATCTCATGTAGGATCAAGGTGACAGCCGTACAGTACAATATTATTCACTTAAATCTGAAGTCTCAGGGTAGGTGCCGTTATTTAATTTGCTTAAGTCCTGCTAGCTAGGGAGCCGTGAACTGTGTAAAGTATGAACTACCAGACAAGGTTTTAAAAAGATCTAAGTAGCAGCGTCACACCTATGACTTTGACTATATTTACCGGTGGTAGGACGTGTTGTTAGTCCGCACGGGTAGATACCACCACCCCGCCTATTTCTGCCGTGAAGCAGTAATGCGTTTCGGTTTGAGGGTGGTGCAGCCGCTGTAACTAACTATAGTGAGAACTTAGAACTCATAACTCAAGGTGGGTAGCGGCATAAACGTTCTAGATATCTATGGGCTTCGGTAACCACTTAACACCAGATGAGCCGTGAGCTCGTTCACCTATTTAAGCAAAGAGAAACCGTTGGGTATTCCGTATATTCGTTGCCCTTGAAGGCATTTTAGTAATTACGGTTTATCTCAACATTTGTCTTATACTGCACAATTCCATTGATGCACGCGTTGTGTGTGGTTACACAACATACTAGTTTTGAGGCTGACATACATACGATTATATAATAAATAAATTGTTATTTTATTCTTGGAGCTTACTGTTGAGGCATGCAGCTTAGAGAACACAAGAATGAAAGTTTTTGAAAGGACCGGTGATTTGATGAGGCTTTAATGTTGTGATGGGCTCCAGTGACCACTTTATACTATGAGGGCCGTAAGCTCATCCACAAATGAACACAATAAATAAAAAAATTGACAAATGAGTTCAAAGGCCACCTGATGTTAAGTGATTACCGGGCCAAAAAACCAAAGTATTTCCTTCATTGATAAGTAATACAACTAAATTTATAATTACAATACTGATAAAGTAAAGCAAGCAAATATTGAAAGTAGAAAACTATAGAGGCATGACAGCAGGATTAATCTGGAGAAGAATTGCTAAAGGTAAATAACAAAAGATATCGTTGGAAAAGACCTCTCCCAAAAGAAACACTAAAATAAGGTTTATAATGCTATTTCGGAAAATAAATGCTTATGATAAATAAATACATAAAAAGGTTAGTGTTTGTAAACTTCTACACAATTATTTATACAAATACATTTTTTATACATACTTTTCAATAAACCAATGTTCACCCCATAAAACATATTATTTTCCTTAGTTCCAATACTGATTTGGAAAAAAACAGACTCTAAAATATTTTTATTACAAACATAAATAATAATATATACAGAAGAGATACACAGTACCTAATTGTTTTGTCTTTGGCTAAT